GTTATCATTCATTAATAATGCCAGGGATTTTCATTGTAATAATTCCATGCGTGTATACTTTGAACAAATTCACCCCCTTCATTACATTCCAATCCCCATTTTCTCTTCCTCTGCTTTTCAAACAGTGTTTGGCAGGGTTCCTTATGCTGTCTTTATACATATATATACATAAATCTACATGTTGTGTACTTCGATGCTCTTCACCACTCAGTATCCTTTCTTTTCACCTTTCCCTCTCTTAATGATCCCATTTCACGTTCATGTTCCATTATTATTATTAGCCTCATCATTATTTCAGGTCCAGATTCCACAAATGAGTAAGAACTGTGATATTTGGCTTTTGGGACTTGGCTTATTTCACTCAGCATGATTTCCAGTTATACTCATTTTCTTGCAAATAAAATCATTTCATTTTTCTTTATGACTAATATGCCATGATGTGTGTGTATAATATTTTCTTTATCCATTCATTAGTTGTGAGTACCTACTCACTCTTGCTGCCCAGCCTCCTCCTCCTTCCCTCCTAACACCCCTTCGGGAGGTAGCCAGATCTGAGGGCATTGTTAGAGTTCATGTCCCCTTTTCTATGCTCGATCTCTCCCAAATCGAAGCCTGCCTAGGCTCCTACACAACTAACCCCTCTGCCTATGTCAAACAATTTCAATATTTACTCCAGTCTTACAGCCTAACCTACCACGATATCGGTCTCATTCTCTCTAACACCCTCTTGCCTGAGGAACATAGAAGGGTTTGGGAACAGGCTCGCACGTACGCAGATGAGTTCCATCAAATCAGTCCTGCTCACCCTACTGGCACTCTGGCGGTGCCTGATCACAATCCCAATTGGGACTACAACACTGAGGCTGGACTTACTCTCCAAGACCAATTTGCCACCTGTCTCCTGGCAGGACTAAAACAGGCATCACAAAAGGCCATTAATTTTGAGAAACTCCAAGAAATCATCCAGGACAAAACAGAGAACCCTTCTACGTTCCTAGATAGATTGACCAGGGCCCTCCAACAATACACCAACATTGACCCAGATTCCACAGATGGTAGACAGCTCCTTATGACTTATTTTTTCTCCCAAAGTTGCCCTGACATTAGGGCAAAACTAAAAAAAACTCGATAGAGGCCCCCTGACTCCTCAGACTGAAGTGCTGGCAACTGCCTTCAAGGTGTTCCACTCCCAGGATGAAAAGGCAAAATGCCAAAAATACCAGATGCTGGCTCAGGCTATGAAAGGCCCACACCCTCAAACTAAACGGGGGAGTCAACGCCCACCAAACAGGAGCTCATTAGGCCCTTGTTTCAAACAAGAGGGACACTGGGCCAATGCCTTGTCCTAAATGCCATGCCCCTGGACATTGGGCGATTGATTGCCCCGCTCCCAGTGGGGGGCCGGGTCAGCTTCTCGCTCCAGTCCCGACCTCATAGGGCTGGCAATTGATGATTGAAGGGGCCTTGGGACTCCCCTCCCAGCAACTACCATCTCGTTTCTGGAGCCCAAGGTAAGCCTTCTGGTTGATGGGTGCCCCATCTGCCTCCTCCTGGACACCAGCGCCACTTTTTTGGTTCTGACAGAGTTTTGGTGGGCCACCAGCCCATCACAAACCCCTATTGTCGGGGTAGGGGGACAAACTATTTTTCCCAGAAAGACCCCCAGGCTTTCCTGCTCCTTTTCCGGTCATCCTTTTGCCCATCAGTTTCTAGTCATGCCCCAATGTCCCACCCCTTTACTGGGAAGAGATATTTTGACCAAATTTCGGGCCTCCATCTCATTTAACTTCTATCCCATTCCCCTTCTCGCCCTTATGGCTATGGCCGGCCCTTCTGATTCCACTAGCCAGACTTTTCCCTCAGGGGTGGACCCCAAGGTATGGGACACTAATACTCCCTCCCTGGCCACTTGTCCTCCCATTAAGATTCTCTTACAGGATCCTCATCACTTTCCATGCCAGCCTCAGTACCTCCTCCCTACTTCCAGCCTGCTGGGACTACAAGCAATCATTAACAATTTACTTCAAAAGGGGTTCCTCAGACCTACCCACTCCCTATACAACTCCCCCATCCTAGCTGTAAAAAAATCAAATGGCACCTACTGCCTCGTCCAGGATCTTAGACTCATTAATAACGCTGTTAAACCCATACACCCCCTTGTCCCTAACCCTTACACCATTCTCTCCTCTATTCTTGCCTCCTCCACTTACTTCTCAGTCCTTGACCTCAAGATGATTTTTTTACCATTCCCCTCTCCCCCTACTCACAGGACATTTTCGCATTTTCGCTTTTACCTGGACGGACCCACACACACACCACTCACAACAGCTCACTTGGACAGTCCTCCCTCAGGGTTTTAGGGAAAGCCCTCATCTATTTGGCCAGGTGCTTGCTAACGATCTCAAAAACCTCCATCTCCCTAGGTCCACTCTCCTCCAATACGAAGATGATTTACTCTTATGTAGCCCTTCTCTAGACATCTCTAAAACCGACACCACTTTACTCTTAAACTTTCTGGTGGACAAGGGATATCGGGCCTCTCTCCACAAAGCCCAACTTTCTCAATTAACAGTTACATACCTGGGAGTTCAATTGTCCCCCGACTCTAAGGCAATTACTCTGGACAGAAAACAGCTCATTTGGGAAATGCCGGATCCCAAAATGAAGGAAGAAATTCTTTCCTTTTTGGGACTGGCTGGATACTTCCAGGTCTGGATCCCCAACTATTCCCTCCTGGCAGCCCCCTTATACAATGCCACTAAGGGAGACTCCTCTGAACCTTTACTTACCTCTATTGATACCCCTTTCTGACGCCTTCAGCAGGCACTTCTCCAGGCCCCGGCCCTCCACCTGCCAGACACCCAGAAAACATTCACCCTCTATGTCCATGAAAATAAAGGCCTAGCTTTGGGAGTTCTGGGTCAAGACAAGGGTACCACATTTGCCCCAGTAGCATATTTATCCAAAAAACTAGACCCCACAGTCTGGGAATGAGCCCCCTGTCTACGAGCCTTATCAGTGGCCTATGTTTTAGTTCAGGAATCAAAGAAACTCACTTTCAGGGGGGCAATCACAGTCATTTCCCCCCACCACCTGGCAGAACTTCTCACGTATAAGGGCTTAAGAACCCTTCCCCCTTGCTGGATCTTGTCGCTTCTTGTTTCCTTCCTCCATGACTCCTCCATTACCCTCCATGCTTGCTCCTCCTTAAACCCTGCCACCCTCCTGCCCACCTCTATCACCATGCCTACCCACTACTGAGTCGAGACCCTGGAGGCCCTTCTCCCCTGCCCTTCACACATCCAGGAAGGGCCCCTGCAGGGCTCCACCTACACCTGGTTCACTGATGGCCGCTCATATGTAGAGGGGGGTGTATGGAGAGCAGGTTATGCTACAGTATCCTTAACCCAAACCATAGAGGCACAGCCCCTCCCTCCCAGTACCACCAATCAGCAGGCTGAACTGTTCGCAGTTACAAGGGCTTTTGAGCTGGCGGCCAACCATTCTCCCACTCTATACACTGATTCTAAATATGTCTTCCACATCCTCCTCTGTCACTCAGCTATCTGGAAAGAAAGGGGATTATTAACCATGAGAGGGACCTCTGTCACCAACTCCACTTTCATAACCAACCTACTCCGGGCCTCTCTCCTTCCTTCTAAGATTGGAATCACTCACTGCCGGTCCCACCAAGCAGATTCATCACCCATTACTAGGGGCAATTCTGAGGCAGATCAGGCTGCCTGACAGGTGCCAGGGGAGAACTATTCCACTCTGGCTCTCGCACAACCTCAGGACCAGACTCCTGAACCGGCCCATGAGTCACTCCCTAGACACGTTCTCCTTTCGTATCTACACTCCATCTTCCACACTAGCACTCAAAATCTCAAACTTTTCTTAAACTCATTCTTCCCCCTTACCCCAGAAGACTCCCAATATCTACACCACCTCACCTCCACATGTCCCACTTGTCAGAGGACTAACCCACACACCTCTTTGAGGCCCAGCCCATTCCCTACTCACCAGGACAGGGGACACATCCCAGGGGCAGATTGGCAGGTAGACTTTACAAATATGCCCAGAGTAAAGAGACACAAGTACCTTCTGGTTCTGGTAGACACTTTCTTGGGATGGGTGGAGGCCTTCCCAACCTCCAATAAGAGGGCTACAACTGTGGCATCTACTATTGTAACCCATATCATTCCTCGGTTTGGGATGCCTACCTCCTTCCAATCAGATAATGGCCCAGAGTTCACATCCCAGGTGACCCAAACAATTATCAAGGCCCTTAATATCCCATGGCAGTTCCACATCCCTTACCACCCCTCCTCATCAGGGAAGGTAGAATGCTCCAACCTCACACTAAAGGAGGCTCTCACCAAACTCACCTTAGAACTACACCTAGACTGGGTTCAACTCCTTCCAATAGCCCTCTTCCGCCTACGGGTGCTCCCACGGAAACCCACGCAAATATCCCCTTTTGAGTTAATGTTCAGTCGCCCAGCTCTGCCTCCGGGAATCACCACCTCCCTGGGCCCCTCCCAGGGCACCTCGCCTTTCCTCTTCTCTCCTTCATTCGAACCCAATTATGGCGACACCATGATACCTTATCTCCAGACCCTTCACGCACTCATCTCTCTTTCCCTTTAAACCCAGGGGAACTGGGCCTGTTTTTCTCCCCCTTTCCCCGAGAAGAAACCCCTCACCCTAAAATGGAAGGGGCCCCTTAAAATCATCCTCTGTACTCCTACCTCAGCCCAATTAGAAGAGACTCTAGGGAAACTATCACCTTGGATTCATATTTCCAGGCTAAAGCCAGCCCGGCCCCCCGGAGACATCTGGCAGAGCAATCCCTTCGCCTTCATCCCCCGCCTTCATTTGCACTCCTTCCCCTGGAGACCCCTTGAAACTTCACATCTCTCGGGTCCATGTTTGCTCCCTGGCCCCCAAGGATGTTCCTTGACTCTCTTTTTTTATTCTTGGTCCTCACCCTCCTCTCCATGAGTGGGCAGGCTAACACCGGAGGGTACTTTTGGAAGTTTAAGATATGGGAGACCTACACTGTCTCACAAACCTCTCTCAACAGTCTGGTGGGCACCGGAGACTGCTCTCCTAAGGGGAGCCAGACCCCTCTCTCAGTCCCCTTCAAACCCAGGAGTGATAGTGACTTTGAATGCCATTGCCCTTTCTTCTCCCAGACTAAGGACTACTGCAAGAAGGGGGCACCATATACCCAGGAATATGGGGGATGTCCCTCTTGGTCCTGCAATATCTACCAGGTACTGAATTTAAGGGGCCCAGACAATGAATTCTCCCTTTATAGGGGACAAAATGGGACCATTGTGGCCCACATCCCCAACCCATGGGACAACAGATGGGTTCAGGATGAAATGATAGCCCTCTATGCTGGGTGCACAGCCTCAAAACCCTCAGCTCACATTATGATTTCCAGGGAGCTCACCCTTCCAATCCCTACTCAAAAGGAGGTGACTTTGGAGGTCCTCCAGTCGGAACAAAGCCTACAACAGGCCCTTCAAAAATCCTCCACTCCTACCTGGCTCCAACTGTTCCAGGCTTCACTCCAACTCATGAACCTCACCACATCCATTAGTGTCATTGACTGCTTTCTTTGTGCCTCCCTCCAGCATCCTCTGCTGGCTGCAGTTCCCATTAACACTTCGTCTTCTATCAAGGCTTCCCCTGCCTTATGGAACTCCTCATGCACTCCTCCCTTGTCATTGGTACCTCTATGGGCACCTGACTCTACACAAGTTCCCCTTCCTACACACACCTGCTATACCTCACTCTCGACATCTCGGTCCAACTTTTCTCTCTCCTGTCATATCAACGTCACAGTTACAGCACAACTGGCATCCCCCTCAGGGCTATATTTCTGGTGCCACAACACCCTACACTCCTGCATAACTCAAACTACTCCTGGGCCCTGCATACTGGTAATCATAGTTCCCCAACTTACTCTTTATGGGGAAGCTGAATTCTCCCTCCTATTCGGTGCTCAACCAAAGCGCGCTGCCTTCTTGCCCATTATGGTGGATAAAAGTTTGGCAACCTCCTTTGCTGCTGCAGGCTTTGTGGGGGGAGCTCTTGGCCATAGTGTTATTTCAGCAAGAGACTTTGAGGAGCTCTTACAGATCACTCTTGAGTCCACCTCGGCCTCACTGGCCTCCCTTCAGTGTCAGCTCACCTCTCTAGCTCAGGTGGCCCTCCAAAATCGTAGGGCCCTGGACCTCTTAACAGCCGAAAAAGGGGGTACCTGTTTCTTCCTCCAGGAGGAATGTTGCTATTATGTCAATGAGTCCAGAATTGTGGAACAAAATGTCAACAGGTTAACAGACCTGGCCGAGGACCTCCTAAGGAAACCCAGTAAAAACACCTTAACCAACCTGCTGAGCTCTCCTCTCGTCACCTGGCTCCCGTCTTTCTTGGGTCCTTTGCTTATGCTCATTACTCTCTGCACCCTCCTACCCTGTTTACTCCAGTTTCTCAGATCTCAGGTGAGCAGAATCTCTAACCAAACTTTCAACCAGCTTCTCCTTCAGGGATATCACCCCCTCATAGCTCAGCCAGAGGACACCCATGATGAACCCTACCGGAACACCGGACTATAAGCCACTTTAATCCCATACAAGGCGCCTACTGCAGTTCCTTGATTCCCTACGTGAGGACAGCTGGCTAATACCTGCCATACGAGACCCAGAGGAGTGGCTGGAGACCATTTATTATCTATGGCTACAGGGAACCTTAATCGAATTCAGGGAAGAGGAAATTTTCACCTTTGGAGCCTGGGTGTATGCTATTATGAGATTCACTACTCTGACACCATCTGCCAACTAACCCTCCCTTCCCCTATGCCGCCCCTTGCCAGCTCGAAGAAGCCAGAGTGAACACAACGCCCTCCTTCCTTAACAAACAAAAAAGGGAGGAATGTTGGCAATAATGGCGCTGATAGGTTTCAGTTCTTACTGCACCCTTAAGCTTCTTCCAGGGTCACGGTTGCCTCCCAGGGTCACAGTCCTGCCTCAAGTCTAGCTTGAACTCTCCTTCTGCCCCAACCTCAAATCAGCATGAACCATAAGATCCTAACCAATCAGATCATGCTGAGCCCCACTGAGGGGTATTTAAGCCCCTGCTCTCTCTCTCTCTCTCTCTCTCTCTCTCTCTCTCTCTCTCTCTCTCTCTCGGCTCTCTGCTCTCCCTCCTCTCCACCCAGCAATAAAGAATCTCTTGGCCAGATCACTCCTCTCCACGTGGTCATTTTGGGGCCTATATTTCCTTACACTAGCTTTCTTGCATTTTCCCTAAGGATCCTACACAACCTTCCTTCTTATTGCTCCTCTGTTTACATGTCATTGCAAAAGGAGGGAAGTAAAAAAAGTACTTCATAATTGGCAAAATTTACCAGGTACTTTTCTTAAATGTAGGGACTACAAAAGAATTTCTCCCACAGGGTGATGTGGCCTGATCTTGGGCCCCTTCATGTAGCTTGGAAATTAATAGATTGGACCTCTAAGGTGTTATTTTTCCCTGTGGCACAAGCCCCTGAAGGAACACTGAAACTTCTGACTCAGTCTCTGGGTATACCTAACCCAAAGGGGGATCCCTGCCATCTGGGACAGATACCAATGTCAATAGACATTTTTCAGTATTTCCTCTTGATGCAAGGGGCTCATTTACTGGCCCTAACAAGAATTTTAAAAAGCCACCCATTTCCTATAGAAATGCTCCAGGAGAAAGAATATTTCTGCCCAGACCCACAGCTTGACTTTTCTGGCAAATGCGACTCTTTTAGGACTCTGGGGTGCATGACTAATGACTCCCACCAGGAACAAATGGGAGCAGGATTTTCCTCCCTTCAAGTTGAAATTCTAGCCTTTTGGTTAAGAGGAAGGAGAAATCCTCAAGAAGCCTCGATTAAAAAATGAAAAAGGACATAGTGACACAGTGGGCACTATGTCCAGCACTTGGCAGAACATGTTCCTGTGGTTTCCCCCTTAGGGAAATGACATATACTCCAGAGACATAATGCTGCCAAGGAATGCATAGCTCACACTGTTTATGGGTTTTATCACAGGTTTCAAATTTTGTCCATCTCTCTACCCTGACAAGCTATGCACTCCCATTCCACAATGTCCTGGTGTTATAGGGAACTCAAACAGAGACACGGGACTCTGAGGTGAGGAAGCAATGCTTTATTGTGCCAGCACAGACTCGCAGACTTGTGTCCAAAGGCTGAACCCCAAGAACAAAGGGGTCTCACCTTATGTCTCCTTGCAAGCAAGTTACAAAGGCAATAAAATAAAAATCAAGGTTTAAGCTTGCATATATGGTTATATTCAATTCTTTTTTTATAATTTTTATTTTATTCATATGTGTATACATTGTTTGGGTCATTTCTCCCCCCTTCTCACCACCCTCTCCCTTACCCCCCCTTATCCCTCACTACCAGGCAGAAACTATTCTGCCCTTATCTCTAATTTTGTTGAAGAGAGAGTATGAGCGATAATAGGAAGGACCAAGGGTTTTTGCTAGTTGAGATAAGGACAGCTATACAGGGAGTTGACTCGCATTGATTTCCTGTGCATGTGTTACCTTCTAAGTTAATTCTTCTCAAACTAACCTTTTCTCTAGTTCCTGGTCCCCTTCTCCTATTGGCCTCAGTTGCTTTAAAGTATCTGCTTTAGTTTCTGTGCATTGAGGGCAACAAATGCTACCTAGTTTTTTAGGTGTCTTACCTACCCTCATACCTCCCTTGTGTGCTCTCGCTTTGTCATGTGACAAAAGTCCAATTCCCTTGTTGTTGTTTTGCCCTTGAGCTAATGTCTGCATTTGAGGGAGAACATATGATTTTTGGTCTTCTGGGCCAGGCTAACCTCACTCAGAATGATGTTCTCCAATTCCATCCATTTACCAACGAATGATAACATTTCATTCTTCTTCATGGCTGCATAAAATGCCATTGTGTATAGATACCACATTTTCTTAATCCATTCATCGGTGGTGGGGCATCTTGGCTGTTTCCATAACTTGGCTATTGTGAATAGTGCC